GTACATTAATTATTTTTGGATCCCAGAGAGCACTTGCCGATAACCGATTTGATAATCTTATCGTCTGACTTGTGATGCTTCACAATGGATGTTTGTATTCAGAGAGGCACGGAACTGTCAATCGATCTTCCCTTTCTTATTGGCTCCCACGGCTGCCCTGAAGGAGTACTATACAAAGACCCAGCAGCATAAGCAACCAGAGAATCAAAGAGGGGGCATCATCTTATGCAAAATGAGGGCGAAACTTGCAAACAACATAGCACCATGGTTTCAGCCGATTCCACTGACAATGGATAAGGTAGAAGTCCCGCGGAAGCTGTTTAAGAGCAATTTATTCAGCTGCTAATGAATGCTGCAATTTAAAGCGGGTTATTGCACCGCCTGAAGATCAGAGACAGATTAAATTGGCAATCAGTCTATATTTAACAGGTGGTTTTGAAACAAAGAACCTCAAACTGTAATGCTGTGTAAAGAATAGCACACTGCCGAGCGAAAGTAATGACCAGAACGAAAGCTGGTTCTTGGGAAACATTCGGTGAGTGCTGGAGTGAAATTTCCAGATGACAAACAAGTTATTCTGATGGACCGTGTGTCGTTTCCGAGATGGAAAAGGGGGCAGTCTTACAGTCCTGAAAGACAAATAGGGACGCCTTCTTGGAAACGTCGAGGACATACTTCAGCGATGGAGAGAGCACTTTGAAAAACTCCTTAACTCTGAGCAATTGCAGAAAGACTGGTCTGAAAGGCCGAAGGCAAACGGTAAAAAATTTAAAAGGCTACAAGGCTGCTGTAATCGATGAAATGCTCCCTGAGATGCTTACAACTTTCGGCGAAGAAAGCACATTGTAGCAAACTCGTGTCTGTTAAACGGCAACTACTAATGTGCAGAATCCAATGGACTGCAAAACTTGAATCTTAGTACAGCTGTTCAAAAGGAGAGACCACTGAGATCGCTCTGGTTATAGGAGCATCAGTTTATTGAATCTCCTGGCAAAACACTACCCAACGATGATAGAAAGGAGGTGCCGCAGAATAACTGACTCCAAGATGCAAGACGAGCAGTGTGACTGCATTTCAGGCTAAC